TGGACGCAGTCTGTGTAAAAAAAAGTATCAGCTTTTTCGAACAAAAATACAAAAATTTCATTTCCGTTTTTTCGTTTGTCCGAATTTTCGAAAATTTTTAATACATATTTTCAGACAACAACGGATATTCGGAACAAATGTGCAACCGATTTCGCTGGCACTTCAGCGTCTGCTCCAATGGCTGCCGCAATTATTGCACTGGGCCTCGAAGCCAAGTTTGTTTGTTTCTGTTTCTCCTTCCTGCTCGCAAAGAATTCCTTTTTTTTCAGACGCTCGAACTTAATGGAAATTTGAGCACAAACATTTATTAGCTTGCTGGAACTCACCGCTTTTGCATTGACTTTAAGATAACTGAACTACTGACATGCATCGTTCAAAGTAACTAAAAAAAGCTGTCAGCTACGTAACTTGAGAGTCAGGCAAGTGCAGCTATCTTCAGTAAAGAGGGATTTTTTTTGTATGAACGTTAATTTGTATCTTTGCAGTCCATCGCTAACATGGCGTGATGTACAGCACGTTGCCGTATGGACATCGGATCCGATTCCACTTCTAATTTCTAATGAAGGCTGGAGCAAAAACGCTCGAGGACTGTTCGTTAATCCTCGATTTGGATTTGGTAAATTTTTTCACCTAAATGTTTGGAAACTAATGCTGCAGAGTCAAATTCAGTATTATTTATGGATTTTCTAAGGTTTGTCCAACCTGTATAGGAACATTTATCCTAGGAATTATGGATGCCGAAGCGTTTGTCAAGACAGCAAGAAATTGGCAACATGTTCCGGAGCAACATGCCTGCACTACCATTTTTCCGACATTTTCTAAACGGTAAATTTTAATCATGGATCTTGGATTCTCGGACTTTGATAAGGATGAACCGGTTTAGAAATTAGACGCTAAGTCCGCCTGGGCTATCACTGTGGATATATCAGTGAAGATATTGGGGTGCCTCCATGCGCCGGGTGCAGCTGTTCCATGCCCTTCGATCTGGAGCTGCGTGTCTCCAGTTGGTAATCATCATTTCTTCAGTGTACTTGCGAGGCTATTCAAGAGTTAAAATTTATTAATGCGCTACGCTCACTGATTGTCAAGATCTATTTTAATACATCGTTATGTTAGAAATCCAAAGAAATACTTAAATATTTGATTTCAGTGAAATAAATGACGAAAGTGCAACGGTAATCAAATTTCAAACAGACAGCTGCGAGGGGCAGAAGAATGAAGTGAATTTCTTGGAGCATGTACAACTTGTTCTGGATGCTCATTATCCTATCCGCGGGCATCTCTCAATTTCCATCACTTCTCCTCAAGGTGAATCTTTCATTATTATTATCATTATTATCATTTTTATTACTGTTATTATTACTATTGCTACCTGTACTATCATTACTGTTGTTGTTATTCTTAGTACTGTTGTTGTTCGTTTTTGCTGTGCTGCGCTATAGTGCTGCTAGAGTGAGCAAAGACGCATATTGTGGGGAGGTCGTCCGTGTGTGTGTTTGTGTGTATGTGTGTGCGTGTGTGTATGTGTGTGTTCGGAAGCGGGTTATCTTTGCATTCATTTTCAACTCAGCAACCAGGAAAGCTGTGAGGCTGAAATTTTAGGGGTATATTTCCATCCCATGTTTAATGCTCCCATTTTAAAATCATCGATCACACGCGCCTGAAATATGCAAATTTCTTTGACAGTGAAAGATTTCGCGAACCAGACAAGATAACTCAGGCTAGAACGTGCCAGGCTTGCCGGTGCGTTTACGTGTTTCTTGTACTAAACTCGCAGGTCACTAATAGCAGGAACGATCTCTGCGCATAGCCTAACACTTGGGTTCATAATGGCCGTGCTTTGGCTCCTGCCGGCAGGCAGGAGGAAGGGGGTCGGTTGGGACGAAGGTGGTGGATTATAGAGCCGCACGAACCTCCAGGTACATGATTACCAAATTTTTCATGAAGCCCGGTCGTTTTTCGGTAAATACTCGTTTTTTAAAAAAAATGAAAAATGCGAATTTTTTGAAAAAATGCATATTTCCAGTTCACTAAAAAGTGGAATTGTTGCTAAAGCGGTCGTTTGTCAGAAAATCCAATTTTGCAAATGAACTAAATATTTATTTACATATTTTGATGAAGGCGATTGTTCGCTGCAAAAAGCACTCGTTTCTGATTTTTTGGTAAGTTGAGTATTTCTCATGCTCACCTGCAGTGAATTTCATCTCCAAGTAGAATTAAAGCCGCACTCGAAAGTAAAATATCCCAGCGAATTTTCAGCCTCGCAGATTATCCTGCAAGCGAAATATCCACTTCACTACAAATATCTTCGAAGTGCCTTAATTCGTGGCGCAAGTGCAAATCGGCAATTATTTTAGGTATACAGTTTCCCATATGGGCGACAACATGCTGACAAGTTTTCAGCCACTATTTATCGGAAAGTTTTCGAATTAGCACTGTTCCAAGTTGCAAACTTTGACGTGATCATACACGCTGCACGTTGCACAAGCCTGCGCGCCTGCTGAATCTGAATACTTTAGCTCGCATATGCACAGAGAATATTCCTGCAAAGTTTCAGCTTTGTGCGTTGCCTGGTTCGCAAAATTCTTTTCCGCCAAAGAAATTTGCATATTTTTCTTGAGGCCCGTACTTGGGGTATAGGTGCGTGTGGAAGATTTTAAAACAGAAGGGTGACACACTGGGCAGGAACATTTATCCGAAATTACAGCCTCCCACCTTTCCTGGCTGCTGAGATGAAAGTGGGTGACAAATTTCGTTCACTTCTGAACATGCATACATAGACGGCCTTTCGATTGTATGCGTTTATGCTGACTGTAGCATCGCTATCGCGCTGCTATAGTCAGCACAGCAAAAACGCATAAAAACTGTGCCTTTGAAGAGA